TTGGCCAGGCTGGTCTTGAACTCCTGGCCTCAAGTGATCTGCTCACCTCAGCCTCCCAAAGTGCCGGAATTACAGGTGTGAGCCACCTCACCCATCCAAGTATATTAATTTTAAAAGTATGTGAATGTCAGTTATATGCATATTGATGAATAACAGGTTGTCATTGTCTTCCCCCAGTCATTTCAAAGCTTCCACTGTGATGCCAGTATATTAACGTTGCTGCACAGTAAATTATTACAATCTTAGAAGTTTAAAACCCACAAATATATCACCTCACAGTTTTGTTTTGTTTTGAGACAGAGTCTCGCTCCATCACCAGGCTCCAGGCTGGAATGCAGTGACGTGGTCTCGGCTCACTGCAACCTCTGCCTCCCGGGTTCAAGCAATTCTCCTGTCTCAGCCTCCTAAGTAGCTGGGACTACAGGCGCATGCCACCACGCCCAGTTAATTTTTTTTGTATTTTTAGTAGAGACAGGGTTTCACCATGTTGGCCAGGATGGTCTCGATCTCTTGACCTCGTGATCCACCCACCTCAGCCTCCCAAAGTGCTGGGATTACAGGCTTGAGCCACCATGCCCAGCCTCACCTCACAGTTTTTGTGGTCAGGAATGCAGACTGGGTCTCTGCTCAAGGTCTCACCTAAAGTAAAGATTCAGCCAAGAATATCTCATCAAACCCATTCAGGTTGCTGGCAGAATTCAGTTCTTTGTGGGTAAATAACTGGAGTTTCTGTTTTCTTGCTGTCTCTCAGTGCCTAGAGACCACTCTCAGTTCCTAGCCATGTGGCTCTCTCACAACATGGCTTCTATTTCATCAAAGCCAGCAGGAGACTCTCCTTTAAAGGCTCACCTGATAAGATCAGGCAAGCAAGGATAATCTGTCTTTTGATTACTTTAAAGGACGTTAATCACATCTCCAAAACTACTTCACCTTTGGCCTATAACATAACCTAATCATAGGACTCATATCCTATCATATTCACAGATTCTTCTGCACTCAAGAAAGAAGGATTATATAAAGCATGTACACCAGGAAAGCAAGAATCTTAGGGGTCATTTAGAATTCTGCCTACCACAGTAGCCCTTTTGGCCTCCAACAATTTGTGTTCCTTCCAAAGGGGAAAAAGACTTCCTCCCTCCCAAGGTTTCCCCCATCTTCTTACAGCATGCGCTCAAAGTCCAAACGCTCATCATCTGAATTATCTGTATCTGGTGCAGATGAGCCTAGGTGTAATCGATTAAGCTCAGTTCTTCAAAGCACAATTCCTTTCTGTGGACTTGTGAAACTAGAGAAAAGCCTGCTCCCAACACTCCATCACACAATGGTGGGACTGACATAGGATAACGGTTACAGCCATACCAATACAAAAACGAGGAAAGGAAATGGAAGGTATCAATGAGTCACTGGTGTATAACAATTCTAACGTCACCTGGACAAATGTTGGATTTTATTGATGAAGTTTTAAGATCTGGGAATAATCTTCCTTGACTTTCAACCTACCCTTTGGGCTCTTGGTTCCATTGTGAGTCATCCTTGCTTTTTCATGGAAGGTAGCATATGTTTGATTAATTTTATCAGCCTGCTTCCTACCAATATGATTTTGCTAGCTCTAAAAGCTCCTGGTTGCTCACTAGTTCCAAAGCCAATTCTACGATTTTTCCTCCCCAAAGACACAGTCTCTCTCTGTCACCCAGGCTGGATTATGGTAGCGCAATCAATAGCTGACTGCAGCCTCAAACTCCTGGGCTCAAGTGATCCTCCTGACTCAGCCTCCCAAGTAACTGGGACTACGGGTGCACGCCACTGCATCTGGCCCACATTTGTATTAGTGTTTTATTGCTCCATAATAAATTACCGCAAACTTAGCAACTTAAAACAAGACAGTTATTATCATTTCTGTAGGCCAGAAGTACAGGCACAGCTTACCTGTGTTCTCCACTTCAGGGTCTTACCAGGCTGCAATCCAGGTATTTCCTAAGACTTTAGCCTCATCAGAAGCTCAACCTGAGAAAGATCCACTTCCAAGCTCATTCAGATTGTTGACAAATTTCAGTTCTTTGCACCTAGAAGATGAAGGGCTATGGTACTAATTCTTATCATAGCAGCTGGCTTCCTTTTTTTTTTTTTAGACGGAGTTTCACCCTTGTCACCCAGGCTGGAGTGCAATGTGCGATCTCTGCTCACTGCGACCTCCACCTCCCGGGTTCAAGCAATTCTCCTGTTTCAGCCTCTCAAGTAGCTGGGATTACAGGTGCCTGACACCATGCCTGACTAATTTTTGTATCTTTAGTAGAGACAGGGTTTCACCATGTTGGCCAGGATGGTCTCAAACTCCTGACCTGAGGTGATCCACCCGCCTTGTCCTCCCAAAGTGCTGGGATTACAGGCATGGGCCACCGAGCCCAGCCTAGCAGCTGGCTTCTTCAAGGCAAGCGGGAGGGTCCTTCTCACTCCAGTTGGCTGAGACTAAGTCTTTCATAGCATAACAGTCATGGGAATGACATTTCATCACCTTTGCTATATTCTATTGGCTAGAAGCAAATTCACAGGTCCCAACCACACTCATGGGGAGGAGATTATACAAGGGCATGACTCATTGGAGTCCCCCTTAATATATGTACACTCATGCTCTTTTGTCTCCATTACCCTCTTCAATCTGAGAAAAACACCTCATGGCCTTTCACATTAGCATCCCTAGTATTTGGCATATAGACTGACACATAGGAGTTCTAAATAATAATTCAAAGCTACAGTTTTCAAACTTTTGGTCTTGGGACCCCATTATCCTCTTAAAAACATTATTGAGAACCAAGAAGAGCTTTTATTTACATATGTTATATATATTAATACTGAGGGTTTTAAAACTCATTCATTCAAAGGTAACAATAGCTTATTACATATTAGCATGTATAGCATTTAAAAAATATATTTTCCAGAAAATTTGTGAGAACATTGCTTTACATTTTTGCAATTTTTAAATGCCTGGTTTAATAAAAGGCAACGGGATTCTCATAAGTGCTTCCACATTCAATCATCATGGCTGGGTATGGTGGGTCATGCCTATAATCCCAGTGTTTTGGAAGGCTAAGGAAGGAGGATCATTTGAGGCTAGGAGTTTGAGACCAGCCAGGGAAACACAGGGAGACCCTGTCTCTACAAATATAATAAAATAAAATTAGCCAGGACTACACCTGTAGTCCCAGCTACTCGGGAAACTGAGGTGGGAGTATCACCTAAGACCAGAAGCTTGAGATTACAGTGAGCTATGATCATGCCACTGCATTCCAGCCTGGGTGACAGAGTGAGATCCTGTTAAAAAAAAAAAAAAAACAAATCATATAGACTCTGGAAAACTCCACTAGATATGAATGATAGTTTAAAAAGGCAAATAATGTCTTCACATTATTATGAATATAGTTTGACCTTATGGGCCCCCTGAAGTGATCCAGATCAGTCTTTGTGAACCACTAATTTAAAGAATTGTCATGCATTGAGAAAAGGGACTTTGATTCATTCAAGAAGTATTTACTGGGTCCTACTCTGTGCTAGGCATTTTTCAAAGCGGTCAACTAGATAGATCAGGTGTCTGTCCTCAGGTTGTTCACAGCAGGTGGGGTAGAAGGATTAGGAACAGCTGGAGTTCACATTTGAGCTGAGTTTTTTTTGTTTTTTTTTTTTTTTTTTTTTTATGGAGTTTTGCTCTTGTTGCCCAGGCTGAAGTGCAGTGGTGTGATCTTGGCTTACTGCAAACTCTGCCTCCTGGGCTCAAGTGATTCTCCTGCCTCAGGCTCCTGAGGAGTTGGGATTACAGGTGCCTGCCACCATGTCCGGCTAATTTTTTGTATTTTTAGTAAAGATAGGGTTTCACCATGTTGGCCAGGCTGGTCTCGAACTCCTGACCTCAGGTGATCCACCCACCTCGGCCTCCCAAAATGTTAGGATTACAGACATGAGCCACCGTGCCCAGCCCAAGCTGAGATTTAAGTGACAAAGGGCAGGCTTTTGCAGAGGTCTGGGGAAACAGTGTTCCAGACAAAGAAAGGGGGCCCTCCGAAATCTCTGAGCCCAGTCTGGCAAAAGAACAGCCAGAAGTGAGGGTGATTTGAGGTCACAGAGGTGGGCAGGGCCAGACTGAGCTAGGCCCAGGTAAGGAATTTGAAGTTTTAAGTCCAAATTTCCTTTTTTTCCCTCATTCTAAAACCATTCCTATAAACTTTATAAAATTAATCAGGAAAGAAATTGGTTGGAGGGGGGAGACAAAAATAACCAAGCTTGCAGCCAATTTGGCATTAATCATGAGGTCAGCTTCCTCTCTGACCTGCTTCCTCACAGTTGTTTGGGGCCTATTGTCCTGTCAACGAGATTATAGTTCTCTTCCATTGCTCTAGAGAGAACAACTTGAACATTATGAAATATTAAGTTTTCCCTTTGAGACAGTCTTTCAGATCCTGGATACCAATGAAACTACTGCCCAGCTGGTCTGAGGAACCCCATGAGAAACTAACTCAGCAAAGAATGAAGTTTCCCTATCCTGAAGATTTCATCTCCCTTACTCTGACCAATCAACGACCCCAATTTTCCAGCCCCTCACCCTCTGTGATCCTTGTAAAAACCTCAGCCCAGAACTATTCGGAAGATGGATTTGAAGGTCTTTTCCCATCTCTTTGCTAGATACCCTGCAATCATTAAACTCTTTCCCTGCGGCAAACTCTCCTGTCTTCGTGTAATGGGTTTGTTACCTCACGGAAGGCATATGAACCTGTTGGTCCTATATCTCTGTCGCCTAGGCTGGAGGGCAGAGGCACAATAATAGCTCCCCACAGCCTTGGGCTCGAGATCCTTCCGCCTCAGCGACCGAAGTACAGTAGTTGAGACTACAGGTGTGCACCACCATCCCTGGCAATTTTGAGGTTTGTGTAGAAATGAAGTTTCGCTATGTTACCCAGGTTAGTCTCGAATTCTTGGTCTCAAGTGATTACCGAGCCTCGGCCTCCCAAAGTGCTGGGATTACAGGCGGAAGCCACCATGCCCAGCTTTAAATCTAAATCTCTTTACGGTGAAGAGAAATACAGAGAGGGGTAAAACGGCTAAAGGATGTCTGTTTGGAGGCGAGGAAGGTCGCCCAGAGGTCAGGCACGCTCCCCCGCGGCGGAGACAGCTGGGCTTCTCCGAGACTCCTAAATCCTGCCTCGCATCTCTAATCGGCTTAACAATGCGAACCAGCTGGGTGACGCGCGCGCACTCTCTCGGAAGCTTGAGTCTCGGCGCCCGCCGTAGACGTCGCGACGGAGGCGGCCCGTTGCCTTGGAGCCAGCGAGACGCGGCTGGGCCTCCACCTCTGTGGAGAGGGCCAGCCGCGGGCTTTGTTCAACATGTCGGTGCTGGATGCGCTTTGGGAGGACCGAGATGTCCGCTTCGACCTGTCCGCGCAGTGAGTCTCCAAGATTCCCGAGGGGTCTTCAGCCTGTAGAGGGCGCCGCGGTGCGCGTTGGGGACCCGCGGGCATAGCCTGCGACCCCGCTGCTCGCCACGTTGGCGAGGGTAGGATGTTTGCGTCCCTCGTCGGCGCCTCGAGAGTCCCCAGGCCGGCTGGGCCACTGCGGCCTTCCAGAGGCCGGCGCCGTGGCAAGAGCGCGTCTGGATACTTAGTTTTGGTCCCGTACGACCGTCGGTCCCCCATCCTGGTCTGCGGGACAGACCAGGACCACCGGGGCTTGGCGTCCTGTATACACCCACCTGAGCTTGGGATTTCAGTTTCATGGAAGGAACGTAGGTCAGGGGCTCAGGAAACTAGGGTTCTAAAACTAAGTCTGTAATATCGACACACTGTGTGGGCCCTTGGACAAATGTCTTCATCATTCAAGCTGGAGTCTTCATGTCTGTAAAATAAGGGAGGTGGGGAGTAGGCAGTCTTCAAAAATTCCTAACCACGCAAACTTTATGTCCTTGGTAAACTTTCATCTAGTTATTCATCGAAATCACCAAGAAGAAGAAGGGGCCCTCTTTTTCAGCCCTGTTTTTGGAAATTATCATACTTTAAATAGAAGCCCTGTTTTGGGAAATTACCGTTCTTTAAAGAGAAGGTGGTTAGAAACCTCCTGCTCCAAAATCCAGGGGGAAAAATGCAGGTTGGGATACTAAGTGTTGAGAAACACTAAAGCTAAGATTCCTGGATTAATGGCATAGAACTGCTTAGCTACCTCTTATCATTCCTTATAGACCTCACTTCCTTAGATAGAAAAATGAAATATTGATACATTTTCCAGGTTAAGTGGTGGCTAGATATCTAATACTAACATGTTAGATCCTTTAAGAAGATGAAAGAGAAAGGAATTTGTAAAATTATGGACCATAGTTACATATTGTGACATTCTATGACATTTTCTGTCATTCTTGTAGGGTTCTTAATGCAAACAAAAGGCCATTTCGTTAACATTAATAAACATTTATCAGTGCTTATTGTGTGCTAGTTACTATGCCGATAGCCAGAGACAGAAAATAATAGGAAATAATACTCATATCCCCCATTCTAGTGCAGGAGATACACAGACAACTACTATAATAAATATGTTAAGTACCATTCTGAAAAAATGAACAAAAAGCTGAGACTAATAGAAACAGAACAATTTATTCTGCCTGGTGAAGTCCTTGAAGACGAATAAATATTCATAGTATTTGAGTTGGTCCCTGAAGAATGGGACCCTTGTCAGGGTAGACAGGAGGAGAGTAAGAGTTAAGCATAAGAAGCAGAGTCTTGGAGTTGCAACCTCTGGCTAGAAGGCAGGGTCTGCTGCAGAGAGAGGTTGGAGGTACAAATAGAAAGATGAATTAGCCAGATTGTGACATTTTTAGCTCATGATTTTGGACTTCAACTTCTAGGCAGCCAGAGGACATGGAAGGCTTTTAAGCAGGGAAATGAATCTGTATTTTCAACAGGTGATTGAGTTGGCTCTATGGAGAGTATATTAGAAGGCTCTACTAGATATTTGCTGGGGTTTTTTGGACACTGTAGAATGTATTCTATCAGTCAGCAAGCTGCCTTTATTTCCTTTTGTAACCTGTATCAATTTGCCAAGTTCCAAAAATGCTTTTCATACAGCTCTTCTTTAACCATACCTTTCATAATTTCCTGATGTCCTTTCCTCTGCTCAGAAACCTCTGGAGGTTCTCTCCTGTCCACAGGATAAGGCCTAAACCTATCAGGCTGGCATTCTGGGTTCTCCATAGTCTGGTTCCTCATTAGTTATCCAACAGTATTTCTCTCACTACCTCCCAATATGGTCCTTCTCTAGCTTGGCCAGTCTTCTCACATGTCCTTACTATTGCTTTTTCCTGGTCTTTAATTATGGATTCTCTTTTCATTTTTCAAAATTCTGTACCTCCTACTCATCTGGCTTACTCCAGATGGCCCTGGTCACTCCAGGCCCCACTGATCTTTAGGTTCTTGAAGTTCTTGAAGACCTTATCTTTAAATGAATGAACATTTGGTACAACATAACTTATGCTGTTGGCTGTTTTATGTACATATGTCTCTTTTCTCCCTAAATAGATTGTAAGCAGGTATAGTTGTAGCTATAAAAATCAAACCTTTATATTCACTTTAGGCAAATGAAAACAAGACCCGGAGAAGTCCTTATTGATTGTTTAGATTCAATTGAAGACACCAAAGGAAATAATGGAGACAGAGGTGAGTATATTTTTACATGTATTTTATATTCCTGGTTTAATTTACAAATGTTGAATCATATTAGCTAGAGAATATATGAAACAGCATCATTTTTCAGTGTAATTGTGAAAATGGGAGAGTTAAAACCACGTAAGACTTTTCTCAGATTTAAATAGAAGAAAGGATAGGCATTAAGCTTGTAGTTTGGTCCTTTACTAAGTCCTAGTTCTAACATCACTTTTATCCAATGTAGCTGTTAAAACTCAAGGAGACCTGTTTGCAAGGGGCATTAGTTCTGACCATTGGACCTGTCTCCCCAGAAAAGGATATGGGGTAGTGAAATACAAGTAGATCATAGCTGTAGTACCTGGAGCCATGCTTCCTTTTTAAAAATTCAGGAGTAATGCACCATCAATCACCTATGGTTGTCACCTAGACATGGATATGTGGGGAACAAATTTAATGCTGCACTGTGAAATCTATTTGTAGGTCAAGTACTGGAAAATCCTGTGAGACTTCTCTGACTGTCACTGGGGACCAGCACAGCTGGACCCTAGAGTCCCTCCCAAACCAAATGTCCCCAAGGTTGGAACTTTTAAAAGTCCGGCCTGCCTATAGCAGCTGTCTGTGGAGCCAATGACCAGTAGGTCTTGGAAACGTCATTACTGTTCTTCAAGGAAAAAAATAGAAGATGTGGAATGGCAGCTTAATGTATCCAGAAAATGTTTTAGGGGAGAGGAAGTTTAGGAGGGAGGGACGTAAACCTCTTACTTGAAAGGGATAAGTGGGGAAATAGAGCAGACTTCTTTCAGGAAAGGGGGAATCAAAAAATCATCAAGAAGGAATGGTAACCCTTATTGGCAGAACATGCTTACTGTACCCCTTTTGACTGGCTGCTTGCTTCCTGAGACTTTCTTCTGATCAGCTCTAGGTTGGCATGTAGGCAGCAGGCCCTCTTGTAAGCATTTCTTCTCTGAGGGTGGTTCCCCTCAGAGACCTTATTTTTAAATGCATGAACTTTTGGTATAGTATTATTTATGCTGCTGGCCCTTTTATATACATATGTCTCAAACTCCTGACTTCAAATGATCTACCTACCTTGGCCTCCCAAAGTGCTGGGATTATAGGCATAAGCCACTGCTCCTGGCTAAGGTACATATGTCTCTTTTCTCTCTAAATAGATGGTAAGCGGGTATAGTGGTAGCTATAAAATTAAGACCTTTATATTCATTTTAGGCAAATGAAAACAAGACCTGGAGATTTAGATTCAATTGAAGACATCAAAGGAAATAATGGAGATAGAGGTGAGGGTGGTTCCCCTCAGAGAAGAAATGCTTCCAAAGAGGCCTGCTGCCTACAGGCCACCACCTGTAGGCAGATCCTTTTAGTGGCTGGGTCCCATCCTTAAAGTAATGCTTAGATCACACTTCTAAAATGCTTCCTGGTGTCTGTCAGGCTCAGATGAGAGTGGAGTATGAAGATCTAGCAGCAAAAAAGTCTTAGTTTGTGCTTTTGAGAGTGGAAAAATAATCCCAACTGTCAAGATGGCTGTATCTTGACAAAATCTGAATTAACTTGAGAAAGCCAAGATAAAGTTTCATACAGATTGGCAGAAACTTTTAATAGAACATTTTTCACTTCTTCAAATACTCATTGAGTGCAGAATCCTGTACTAATACTTCAGAGTAGGAAGGACAGAAAGCTCCCCTGACCAGAAATCTCCAGTGCCTGAAATCCTACTATTAATAAAAACAGCCCAACTACAGTGGCTCATGCCTATAATTCCAGCACTTTGGGAGGCCAAGTTGGGAGAATTGCCTAAGGCCAGGAGTTAAGAGACCAGCCTGGGCAACATAACAAGATCCTGTCTCTCCAAAAAATAAAAAGAATTAGCCAAGTATGGTGGTGCATGCCTGCGGTCCCAGCTACTAGGGATACTGAGGTGGGAGGATCGCTTGAGCCCAGGAGGCTGAGGCTGCAGTAAGTCATGTTCGTGTCCCTGTACTTGGCCTGGGTGACAGTGCAAGACTCTGTCTCAAAATAAAATAGAAATAACTGTGTGGGTGCACAGACCTCAAAAACCTTTTGAAAATTTACAGAAGTATACAGCACTTCTGATCATTAAGGAGTTAAAAAATGGAAGGGGAATCTTGCTTCCTAGCCCTCCACTTCCCCTCCCTTTCAGCAATTTGGAAATGATCAAGTTAAGGCATTGCCAAGTTCAAGAGCCCCTATGTTAAAACTATAAATATCCTGGAAGATTAGCACATTTAATCAATTTTCAGCTGTTAGTACCCTGACTTGAAATTATCAGATTAGCTTTGCACAGTGCCTATAGCTCGTAGCCTAGTTGTAGAGAGAAAATGTTGCTTAGGTAAAATGTCATAGAGAAAATATAACCAATGTATCTATAATAAATAAAGTCATAGAAATGAGTTTGTACAGGATTAAAATATTTAATAGCTGTGTAAGAATAAAAGGGACAGCTATATTTCAGTGTTTGGGAGATTAGTAGAAACAGGGACAACCGTATTTTGGTATTAGGCAGGATGGAGAGGAAACTCCATGTGTGGAACACTGGGTTTGGAGCTGTCGGCTGGGCCCCTTTAGCAGAAAAGAAGTAGGGTTAAAAATCATAGAGATTGTGGGAGATATTCCAGGAGCAGAGAAAAAGGCAAACGGGTGGTTGGGGTTTTATGTGGCAAAGTCTTCCCACTCCATAATTTCTCTTGGGACTGACAGAAAAATATAAAAGAATCAATAGATGTCCTGAGCCCATAGCCCATTTGTAGAAATAAAATGTTGCCTAGGTAAAATGGCCTAAGGAAAACCAGTGTATCTATAACAAAAAAAGTCAAAAATTAGTTTGCAAATGATTATTTTTTAAGTAACTGTTATTTTGGGAATGTTTATTGTTTGCCAGTCACTGTTCTGAATCTTTTATATAGATATAATCTCATTTAACAGTAATAAAAATAGTAAAACAAAAAATTTAAAGTAGATACAGTCATATTTATTTTCAAATGAGGAAACTGAGGAATAGAGAGGTTAGTTCACTTTTCCGGGGTCATGTAGCTAAGTGATAAACCTAACTGCCTACATTGATTTCTAAACTGGTAGGGTCACATTATTCTCTTCTCAAAAATTTTTAGTCCTTCCCATTTCCAATCCTAAACCCCACCCCCAACTCTACTGCCGCTATTGCTAACAGGTCCAAGTTTGAATTTTTTTGTCTAGCATTAAAGGACTTCTAGTATGTCCAAAAACAGTGTTTATCGCCTGTGCTGCCATCTTCCATTTGTCCTTCCAGGTCTGGCATTCTTCTCCACCTTTTTCCCCTTGCCCTGGAAACATGACTTGTGTAGAGTACATCTAAGGGTTCCTTGTGTACTCTGGCTTTCAGTTGGAAGAGTCATGGCAGAAGATCAAAAAGAGGCAGGAGCATAAGGTCTGGGTATTTATTCCCCTGGTTCCTTCTCAATGAGAGGTTGGCTGTCCCTCCTCTCAAAGCAGTCAGCTCCATAGGACTCTTGTTTTTTCCAGATTTCATTAACTGCTGCTCCCTCTTTTGTAAATAAACCTCAGTTATCCTAACTTGAGTGTACCATCTATTTTCCATTGAACCAATGACTGAAAGATGCAATACCTAGTCTTCTATGATCTTGTATGAACCTTACACTCCAACCATGCTGGATTACTTATTATTTGTCAAACATAATCTGTAATTTTCCACAATCTCCCTTGAGAATGCCTTTACCTTTTTTAAAGCCACCTGTGTTATCCAGTTTCACTCCAGTATTCATACAGACCTAGTTTCTCTGATTTTAGACATTCTAGAGATTATCGGAAAGAGTATGACCTGGCTGGCTATAGATTACTCATCAAAAGAATTTTATGGTTGTAATTTGTTGGTGAAATAATGTGTTTAAACAAAATAAGTCTTATTATTTCAGAATATCTCAAAGCTATCATAAAATGCTCATTTGTATTATATATCTCTAATACACCTAGTATGCCATTTTCAAATTTATTTTTTTTCTTGGAGCATCTATAAGGGATCACTGTTGTACAGGACACATTTTGAGAAATGAAGTATCTAACTTCGTATTTCAGTGTATGAACATCAGTCTGATGCTAAGATCAAAAAGTATAAAGCCTTAAGTAGACTTCAGCCTCACCATAACTTCTTAGGAACAAAGTAGTTTGCTCACAGCAAAATTGTGTGTATAAATACATGGTTCATTTAAATGAGAACTGCTGAGAAAGTACTCATATATCAACGATTAGCGCGTATATGAGAGTTCTTTGAAAAATCGCAATTTCAATGAATGGCTGTGTAATTATCCTGTATTCATTCTCAGTTGACTTGTTGGGACCCCAGAACAGCTTCTACTAAGACAGAAAAACTAGTGCACAAGTCTTTCCTCAGTCAGTTTGAGTTAGAGCAAAGCTATTGGCAGAGAACATCTGTATTCCTTATATAACTGTCAAATTTTGTTTCTCTAGGATTCTGAATCATACATTGTATACCTTATATAGGTTAGATATGCACAATATTTTCAGTTAATAAACATATGAAAAATATCTGTAAGTGTTGCTTCTGATACTAAGCCAGAAGTTCCATATCCACCTCATTCAGTGCTGCAAAATGGGTCCTTATTTAAGTTAACCTATTTTTGTCTGTTTGCTTTTAGGTAGACTCTTGGTAACAAATTTAAGAATTCTCTGGCACTCTTTGGCATTACCAAGAGTCAATGTTTGTAAGTATCTTTGTTAGATAAGTCTGAAGAAAAAAAACCCTTTGTCATGTGAACTTACATGGTGCCTTTGATACCAAAGAAGTATGTGGAAGTACGTGGAAATCTTTTTTTTTCTCCTCTTTTTGAGACAGAGTTTCACTCTTGTTGCTCAGGCTGGAGTGCAATGGTGCAATCTTGGCTCACCACAACCTCCACCTTCCGGGTTCAAGCAATTCTCCTTCCTCAGCCTCCCAAATGGCTGGAATTACAGGCATGCACCACTATGCCTGGCTAATTTTGTATTTTTAGTAGAGACAGGATTTCTCTGTGTTGGTCAGGCTGGTCTCAAACTCCCCACCTCAGGTGACCCACCCGCCTTGGCCTCCCAAAGTGCTGGGATTACAGGTGTGAGCCACAGCGCCGAACCCACTTATTTTTTTAAAGTATTTTAGATTACCCAGCTAGACTTGTTCTTTTGATGTAGTAGTGCTAAAACTTTCAGTAAATAATGTTGCAGAGGCTTTAAGGATGAAGACTTCCTTTTTCCCGTGTTGTATTTTTGTTTGTTCAAAGAGACAGAATTAACCCTCTAGTTTTTTTTTAATTATTTAAATTTATAGTTATTTCTTTTAAACTTTTAAAAGTGTATTTCTATATACGTTTAATTTCTAAACTGTTAAAAGTTCTGTATATATATATAAATTTTTTTTTTTTTTAGAAAAGTATTTTTCTCAATGTACCATATCATGTTCTTTACATTCTTTGCTTTTGGATTTTAGCTGTCGGTTATAATTGCATACTGAATATTACAACAAGGACTGCTAACTCTGTAAGTCTAAAAATTCTTATTGAAATATATATATATAGTAAAGAAACTAGATATTTGAGATTGATGTTTGTTTTCACTATAAAGGAGAAATTGCTCCTAAAATCTGAACTTTTAAATAAATTTGTCCTTACAGAAATTACGAGGCCAAACTGAAGCTCTTTATATACTAACAAAATGTAACAGTACTCGTTTTGAATTTATATTTACAAACTTGGTTCCTGGAAGCCCTAGACTTTTTACTTCTGTGATGGCAGTACACAGGTATAGTAATACTTTATGGATTATTGAATATTTTTAGCTTATTCTATGGTTTTAGACTGCAGCAGTCCCCAACCTTTCTGGCACCAAGGACCAGTTTTATGGAAGACAGTTTTTCCATGGATTGGGTGAGGGTATGGTTTTGGGACGATTCAAGTGCATTACATTTATTGTGCAATTTATTTCCTTTTTTTTTTTTTTTTTTTTTTTTTGAGACAGAGTTTCACTCATGTTACCCAGGCTGGAGTGCAATGGCACGATCTCGGCTCACCGCAACCTCCACCTCCTGGGTGTTCAGGCAATTCTCCTGCCTCAGCCTCCTGAGTAGCTGGGATTACAGGCACGCACCACCATGCCCAGCTAATTTTTTGTATTTTTAGTAGAGACGGGGTTTCACCATGTTGACCAGGATGGTCTCGATCTCTTGACCTCGTGATCCACCCGCCTCGGCCTCCCAAAGTGCTGGGATTACAGGCTTAAGCCACCGCGCCCGGCCTGTGCAATTTATTTCTATTATTATTATTATTATTATATACTCACTGAAAGGTAGAGTCAGTGGGAGCCCTGAGCTTTTCCTACAGCTAGATAGTCCCACCTGGGGGTGATGGGAGACAGTGACAGATCATCAGGCATTAGATTCTCATAAGGAGCACACAATCTAGATCCCTTGCATGTGTCGTTCACAATAGGGTTCACATTCCTATGAGAATCTAATGCCGCTGCTGATCTGACAGGAGGCATAGCTCAGCTTTGTTTGCTCACTCACCTGCCCACCGTTCACCTCCTGCTGGGCAGCCTGGTTCCTAACTGGCCACTGACCAGTACCCATCTGTCTGTGGCCCAGGGATTGGGGACCCCTGTTTTAGAGAATAGAAATGTGGTACTGTTTTCTTCCAAGCTCTATTGTAAATATCAGGAAGATATTAAGAAGAACGTGTTTCATTATCATTTAATAAACACTTTGAAGGTATTTATAAAACACAAAAAACTAAAGATTCATTAAAAATTTCTACTGATGACCAGATTAGATTAGCTACCAAGGTAGGTAAAGTGAAATAAAGAATTTGATATACCTAAACAAGTTGCATAATTAATTTAAAAGATTACTTTTCTAGCAGGTAGAAGGCATGTTTGAGTGTCTTCCCTGAAGAGTTTTGTTGGTGTTTTTTTTTTTTAGGTTTGTGGCTTTTTTTTTTTTTTTTTTAAATAGAGTTAGGGTCCTGATTTGTCACCCAGGCTGGAGTATAGTGGTGCAGTCATAACTCACTGAAGCCTCAAACTCCTGAGCTCAAACGATCTTCCTGCCTTAGCTTCCTGAGTAGCTAGAACTACAGACATGTGATGCCATGTCCTGCTAATTTTTTAAAAGTGTTTTTGTAGAGCTGTACGTGGTGGCTCACGCCTGTAATCCCAACACTTTGGGAAGCTGATGTGGGTGGATCATTTGAGGTCAGGAGTTCAAGACCAGCCTGGGCAGTGTGGTGAAACCCTGCCTCTACTAAAAATACAAAAAAATTAGCTGGGCATGGTGGCACGTGCCTGTAATCCCAGCTACTCAGGAGGCTGAGAAGGAAAATCGCTTGAACCAGGGAGATGGAAGTTGCAGTGAGTTGAGATCACTCCACTGCACTCCTGCCTGGGTGACAGAGCAAGACTCCGTCTCAAGAAAAAAAAAAAAAAATTGTAGAGACAGGATTCTCACATTGTTTCATAGGCTAATTTCCAGCTCCTGGGCTCAAGTGAGTCTCCTGCCTCAGCCTCCTAGAGTACTGGGATTACAAATGTGAGCCACTTCATCCAGCCTGTTTTTTTAAATTATTTATTTTTTCTTCTTGTTGTTTGCTAAATTCTTCTCTTTTTACTGCCTCAGCTTTTTTTTATTTTTTAAACCAGCCCTAAGTGCTATGATGTTTTTTAAATGTGTGTATATAATTGTTTAATTTGTATTTTCCAGTGAAGTTGACATTTTTAATCTATTTTATGTATTTTTTGGCTTCTTATAAGTTTCTTAATTATACCCTTAGCTGTCATATATATTGCCAATATTATTTTTAGTTTCCTAGTTTGTTATTTGATTTTTAATTTTATTGATGTTTTGATCTATATAATGGTTTAATTTTTTAATTGAAATATAATTTACATGAAATTTTACATGTAAAATGTACAATTTTAAAGTATACAGTTTGATAGTTTTAGTATATTCACAATATTATTCAACTATTGTGAAGATCCAATTCCAGAATATTTTCATCATTCCCAGAATAAACCCCTTACGCATAGCATTCATTCTCCATTCCTTCACCCCAGCAGTCCCTGATAACCTCTAATGTACTTTGTGTCTCTATGGAATAGAGTAGAATCATATAACATGTGGCCTTTTATGCCTGACCTCTTTCACTTACACAGTGTTTTCAAGGTCCATCCATGTTGTAGCATGTATAAGTAGTAGTTCATTCCTTTTTGTAGCTAAAGAATATTCCATTGTATGGACGTACCACATTCTGTTTATCTGTTCATGAGTTGATGGACTTTTGAGTATTTTATTTCTTAGTGATTATGAATAATGTTACTATGAACATTTGTGTATAAGTTTTGTGTGAACATATGTTTTCAATTCTCTTGGGCATATACCTAAACCTTAGCTCTTTATTTCATTTAGAGAAGTACTGTGAAAAGTTCTAAATGGAATATGAAAGGAACAGAAGCTGCTTTTCTTAAATAATATTAAAAACATTAGGCCGGGCATGGTGGCTCATGCCTGTAATCCCAGCACTCTGGGATGCCAAGGCGGGTGGATCACCTGAGGTCAGGAGTTTGAGACCAGCCTGACCAACATGGTGAAACTCTGTCTCTTAAAAAAAAATTTAAAAAAAGAAAAAAAATATTATGTGCTTCCCCCAAAAAAATAATTTATAGCATAAATAGTTTCCATTTCTTCCACTGGTTAAGTATTGTTGATAACAGCACTAAAGAAAATTAAGACTTACAAGCAGAATGCTCAAATTCTGCTCTTTCACAACTTATATATTAGAAGATTAAAGTAAAAATTAGAAGTTCAATAATGAATATAATTTATATAAGTGAATTCTGATGTTACTAAGGTTAAGAAAACTTTACTTTTGTTAAATAGGTAACTTAGCCTGTTTTATGTGAAAGATTAAAATTAACTAATCAAAAGTTAATCGGGGTTTCTTTCTGTGTTTATTATCAATAGACATGGAAAAAAATTACAGGGATTTAGGCCAGGCGTGGTGGCTTATGCCTGTAATCCCAGCACTTTGGGAGGCCGAGGTGGGGAGATCACAAGGTCAAGAGTTCAAGACCAGCCTGGCCAACATAGTAAAACCCCCTCTCTACTAAAAATACAAAAATTAGCTGGGCATGGTGGCATGAACCTATAATCCCAGCTACTCGGGAGGCTGAGGCAGGAGAATTGCTTGAACCACAACCCAGGAGGCGGAGGTTACAGTGAGCCCAGATCATGCTGCTGTACTCCAGCCTGGGCTACAGCGCGAGACTCCGTCTCAAAAAAATAAAAATTGTAATTCTCCTTCTCTCCCTTCCCCTCTACTTTTTCCTTCATCCCTCTCCCCTTCTCCCTCCCTCCCAGTGCTTCTCTTCCTCCTTCCCCCTTCTCCTCTTGGGGTCCCTTTTGGATTCAGTACAGATTCATTCTAGTTTTCTGTGTAGAGGTAGATGTGAGCATGTTTTCAGGTTGCAGTGAGAAAAAGTAATTGTTTTGTTCTTGTTTTTGTTTTTGTCTTTGAGACAGAGTCTCGCTCTGTGTGGTGGCACAATCTCAGCTCACTGCAACATCTGCAGTGATTTCAAGCAGTTCTTATGCCTCAGCCTCCCAAGTAGATGGGACTACACGTGTGCACCACCATGCCTGGCTAATTTTTGAATTTTTAGTAGAAACAGGGTTTCTCCATGTTGGCCAGGCTGCTCTCAAACTCCTGCTTCAAATGATCTGCCCACCTCGGCTTCCCAAAGTGCTGGGATTACAGGTGTGAACCATTGTGCCCAGCCAAGAAAAAGTATTAATAATTGGATGCCTGTTTATGTCCTTTGAAAAACAAGGAAATGGGCCGGGCGCGGTGGCTCATGCCTGTAATCCCAGCACTTTGGGAGGCCGAGGCGGGTGGATCACGAGGTCAAGAGATCGAGACCATCCTGGTCAACATGGTGAAACCCCGTCTCTACTAAAAATACAAAAAATTAGCTGGGCATGGTGGCGCGTGCCTGTAATCCCAGCTACTCAGGAGGCTGAGGCAGGAGAATTGCCTGAACCCGGGAGGCGGAGGTTGCGGTGAGCCGAGATCGCGCCATTGCACTCCAGCCTAGGTAACATGAGTGAAACTCCGTCTCAAAAAAAAAAAAAAGAAAAACAAGGAAATGAAGAAAAGGTAGCATTTTGACAGGAAAAACAATTTCCATATGTATTTAAAAATAGGTTATTGTGATAAAATATGGACATACTATACTGACAAATTCTACAAAAAACTGTAATTGCCAAACCTTTTTAAAAAGAAAAATATAGGCCAGGCGCGGTGGCTCAAGCCTGTAATCCCAGCACTTTGGGAGGCCGAGG